GAATGCCGAGATCCCGGGACAACTCCAACATTTTCCCCAGGATGAGAGGTTCCAGCAGGTCAGGCTCCGTCTCCGGGTAAGCGGCCATAGCTAGCTCCAACACCGCGCCCCTATACGCTACCGGTGACTCCTCGGGTGCGCGTTGTCGTTGCACAAACCGGCGATGGGCATCATCCGGCGGCTCGTACGCGTCCGCCATTTCGTCGAACACCCCTCGCAGAGTCTTCTCCTTCGCGGCTTTTATAGAGCGAAAAAAACGAACGGACTCATCATCGAGAAGAGTCGGAAGAACCTCCAGTGCCTCGGCGTCCGTCCACCTCGCTGAGCGTACCGCTGCCAGAAATCTACAGGCGAACGCACTCCAATCGCCCCCGATGGAGAATTCCTTGACAGTTGTTAGGTGACGACTGCGACTCCTTGGCTTGCTCCCTCCAGCCGCTGGCTCCTCCGGTGGCAAATTCAACATGGCGTCGCAACGCGGTGTCGACAAGATGGCGGCTGACCGTCGCGGAGGTCCCAAAATGGCGGCTTCCCGCTTTTTGTCGTGCGCCACGCCCAAGATGGCGTCTTCGTGCCGCATGGCCGATGGCGGCGACATCGAAGACAACCCGGGCTCCTGCGGACCACCAACATCTCCTTCCGACGCCGCCCTCGGCGTGACAAGCTCACACAACTGTGTAATGACGTTCTTGAGAGTTACAAGTTGCTCCGCCATCTGGGTCCATCTTGAATCCGCGTCTTTTGGAGCAGACGGGTCCGCCGACACGGCGACCTCTTGGACCCCCGGACCCGCACTCGTCCCAGCACGGATCTCTTCCTCTGCCAGAGTCAGGCCGACTTCAGGAGGAAGATCATCGTCGTCGGAAGATGAAGCCGATGCCGGAGACGGAATATTCTTTTTTCTCAGTTGTTTCGCCATGCCGTTACACTTCTGACTCCAGTGTAATAAAAGACTCGGACGCTTCTCTCTGACTCCGTGTCCTTTATTTGGGTTCTTGTCTTTTCCCTCACGGCACTCTCTTAGAGATACTCTGCTTGCAGCCCCAGGCTGCTATCACTATTGTAGCCTCCTTCCTCTCCTTGCAGACTCGCTGCTAACTCCGTGTGCAGTCCCCCCGCTGCCAACTCCGTGTGCAGACCCCCGCTGCCAACTCCGTATGCAGACCCCCGCTGCCAACTCCGTATGCAGACCCCCGCTGCCACCTGCAGCCTCCTCGCTGCTACCTGCAGCCTCCTCGCTGCTCCGGGTCGGTCACCGTTGGCCGACGGTGCCGAACCTCGTTCCCCGTGTACGTGGCGATCTCGCCACTCTCCCGCTCTCGCCCTACGTGGCCTCACTCGTTCCTAGTCTCCCGTCACTCCCCTTCCTCTTCCGGTTTCTCTCCCTATAGACCTGACCCCTCTCCCCCACATGACTTAACTCCTCCCCTCATGACGTCACCTCCGGGAGGTCGTTTACGCCCGCATTACAAATGTACAAAATAAAAGTGGAATGGCATGAAATGACCGCTCCTTTCCTTACGACAGGCCTGGAATACCGTAAACAAATCCCTTTAAGATGTGGGTGTAACCTCGCAACTGACAAACGAATATACAAATCGACACCCCTTACCACTGGTTAACATGTTTAACTGCCTTGTTGGGGCGAAGCAGATTTAGTGCCTTGCACACCTGAGTGGCTGTAATGGATAGGGGCACCTGTAAAAGTCAGCTACTCGGCAAGAGATGAGATATATGAATGTTGAACTTATTCCGCACTGTACGGAGCCAACCCTGCTAATCAGAGGTGCGGAGCCAATGTGCTCCTTGCAACCCACTGCGGCCAGCATGGTGAACCTTGGGACACATTGTGCTGCGGCACACCGGGTGTGAAGCCGTCCCCTCGGCCATGCGGGCCTCCTGCACAATCGGCAACTTGGTTGAGCCCTGCGGGCCTCCTGCACGATCGGCAACTTGGTTGAGCCCTGCGGGCCTTTTGCTACCGGGGAAGAACTAAGATGGGGCCATTTCGCGTTTAAACATTGGCGCCAAAAACGACTTACACGACGTTAAAACACTTCAAATAAACATCTCACGTCTGCAAGAGACCGCATCAAGCCACACGCCACAACCCCCCTGAAGACGGAATGGAGCAGTGGTTGTATTCCTCTCAGCCACCGCTGAAATTTCCACAGCTACACATTACGCTATCAAACCGATTAGCACGGTTGGCAATGTACGGCGCGAAAGAAGTTCAGAATGCATTATCAAAATCAAGTTTACCACCAAATCTAAACATACACATTCATCACCAGTACTGTATTCAATGAATCAATTGACATTCATTTTAAGCTAAATAAACATAGAATGCTACAATTAGCAACACGTGGTTTAACAGTCTCCTACGGAGCAAGCATTGCAGAGAGGGCCTTGGTCGTGGACTGTCCAGCTGCCGTGTGCCCGTGGCCTCACGTGGACGCGTGTCTGAGGGGGACCAATCCTCGACTCACGACGCAGTTGTGGGGCCCGTCGTCCGCCGGCTTCCTCTCCCTCCTCCACCGCGTCGGTCGACTCCCGCCGGGCTCCTGCCGGGCCCCCGCCGATCGAGTGATGGGGCCCCCCGCACTGGAGCCCTCTGAGGGACATGCTCGTGCTGCTGGCTCACAGCCGCACGGAGTTCACCCACACGCCCGCGCACACCACGGCTATTGCTCGCACCACGAGTGGCCATCTCGACGCGTGCGCACGCCGCGGCTCCGCGTTCGCTCTCGCCGCGCGTTCTCTCACGCAGTGGCTCCACACAGCAATCACAGACACCACGCCGATGCTCTGTACGAACTTTTATTGTCGGCGCAAATCCCGCACCGCCCGGAGGGAATATTTCGCAAGAAGAGCCCCAAGCCTATGGCTGCCCAAGTCCCCAGATATTCAGACGCCCTACCACGTTCCTCGCAGCTGTCCTCACGGACGAGAGAAAACTTCACCTATCCTCCCTGCCTCGTGGCGGCACTCGCTGGTGTCACACGGATGCTGCGAGCGGCTCGAGAAGGCAGGACGCCAGGGGGTGGATCTTGGCGGCCAAGAGATTGAAGACAGAAAATCTGCCCTGAACGGTCCCAGGCTCCTCTTTTTATCCCTCCGACTTGAAAAGCCCAGGGTCGCGTTATCCCGCGCGGCCAATCGTGCGCCTACCTGTGATTATCGCTCGTTTTTATTCCCTCACATGGAGCACTGCGGCGGTTGCTTCTGCGACCCATTGTCTATCCATCCGTACTCATGAATCTCTTACTCATCCTGGTTAATCTGGGAGGACGCCCGGCTGGTGAATACGCGCCCTGCTCGTGTGTATTCGGTCTGGGGCCGGGGGAGGTCGTGGCGCTGCGCTCCCCTGGACCTCATGGTCTGCTCTGCTCGCTTAATATTCCAACCCAGCCCCTCCCGATGTCGTGCGTGACTCATTGCAGCTGGCCCGGTGAACCTTTTTGCGTCCGAACTCAGGGGCACCGCAATGTGACCTGACTTTCCACCTAGTGACCCTTCGGATTAAAACCCGCCGTGCCAGGCAATCCCCCACCAGGACACTCCGTGCGTGTGCTGCGTGCGTGCGCTGCGTGCGTGTGCTCAGTGTGTGTGTCAGTGCGTGTGTCAGTATGTGTGCTCAGTGTGTGTGTCAGTGTGCTCAGTGTGTGTGTCAGTGCGTGTGTCAGTGTGTGCTCAGTGTGTGTCAGTGTGCTTAGTGCGTGTGTCAGTGCGTGTGTCAGTGTGTGTGTCAGTGCGTGTGCTCAGTACGTGTGCTCAGTGCGTGTGTCAGTGTGTGTCAGTGTGCTCAGTGTGTGTGCTCAGTGTGTGTGTCTGTGTGTGTCAGTGTGTGTGTCAGTGTGTGTGTCAGTGTGTGCTCAGTGTGTGTGTCAGTGTGTGCGCTCAGTGTGTGTGTCAGTGTGTGTGTCAGTGTGCTCAGTGTGTGCGCTCAGTGTGTGTCAGTGTGTGTGTCAGTGTGTGTCAGTGTGTGCGCTCAGTGTGTGTGTCAGTGTGTGTGTCAGTGTGTGCTCAGTGTGTGCGCTCAGTGTGTGTGTCAGTGTGCTCAGTGTGTGCGCTCAGTGTGTGTCAGTGTGTGTGTCAGTGTGTGCGCTCAGTGTGTGTGTCAGTGATTGCGCTCAGTGTGTGTGTCAGTGCGTGTGTCAGTGTGTGTGTCAGTGTGCTCAGTGTGTGCGCTCAGTGTGTGTGTCAGTGTGTGCGCTCAGTGTGTGTGTCAGTGTGTGCGCTCAGTGTATGTGTCAGTGTGTGTGTCAGTGTGTGTGTCAGTGTGCTCAGTGTGTGCGCTCAGTGTGTGTCAGTGTGTGTGTCAGTGTGTGTGTCAGTGTGTGCGCTCAGTGTGTGTGTCAGTGTGTGTGTCAGTGATTGCGCTCAGTGTGTGTGTCAGTGCGTGTGTCAGTGTGTGTGTGTGCTCAGTGTGGGGGCCATGGGGGAGTCGCGGCGCTTGCAGAGTCGCTTCGAGGCCGTGGCACCACACGGTGCAAGACTAATTGGGCATCTTGGGCATACGAGCGATTCGTCTCACCAGCGATACTTCACTCGGCACTCAAAGCATGAATCGAGGAGGAGAGCCACTTTGGTGCACGTTAAACATTGTTTTTGTATTCACAATCAAAGCCACTTATATACATATGCATTTCGTTCCGTTTAAGTGTGATATCCATTGTACACATGCATACTGTAGAAGTTATAAGGTGTAAGATGTGTGTTGCCGTATATCAATAAAATCGAGATTGAATCATGAATAATTTTACCTAATTATAGATTATAAGTTTTCGTGACTGCAAGGATCCACACTCTTTGGTTCTTTCGGTAAAGTCACGTAGATGAAAAAAAATATGAAAATAACCAAATTAAATCATGACGTTTCGGAGGCAACACAAGCTTCCGTCATCAGGTGGAACCTGGAAGCTTGTGCTGCCTCCGAAACGTCGTGATATAATTTAGTTTATTTTTCATCTACTTGACTTTACCGAAAGAACCAAAGAGTAATTTTACTTATCTGGGGAAGACACACGGAGATGTAGGACTCTTTCAGGAGGGTCCCACTGCTGCTACATTGGGGTTATCATTTTAAGATGTTTATTACAAAAGTGAGAGGAGCCCGGAGCATTTGGAGAAAGCCCATTGCATGCAAAGGGGGCAAGATTCTTATCCCCGTACAGATGGATAGAGATGACGATTAGTCCACTTGCTATTCTGCCTTCTCAATGTAAATGTATTGAACGTCTTTTATACTGTACGTACCGTACGTAGCCAACCTTGCTAATCGGAGGTGCGGGGAAAGGATAACAAACTAAACACAAAAGGCAGCTCTAAAGAAATGAGTTTTCAATCGAGATTTAAAAGTGCATAACTCCAGTGGCTTCCTAATATCGGATAGAAGAGCATTCCAGACAGCCGCAGAAGCACATCTGAAAGCGCACGATGCAGTGACCGTCTTTGTTCGATGGTTAGCCAAAAGCCGCTGCCGTGAGGATGACCGGAGTTCACGTGATGGGTGATGCTCCTTGACGACATCAGCGAGATATTCCGGTTCATTTGTGGCGAGCACTTTGTGTGTCGTGAGCGTGACCTCATCAATGTATTCATTCGGCAACCGAAAGCCAATGCAGCTCAGCGAACACCGGTCAGATCTCGCAGTACCATTCACAACACGTGCGTGTGTGTGGATCGGTATATGTGTAGTGTATATATGTGTTTGTATGCTTGTCACGTGTCTTTACATGGTAGCTATTTGTGCACCAATCGACACCCTGGACACCTGTGCAAACGAGATGTTCAATCTGGAGGAGTTTTCCGGGTGAAATATTTTTCGAATCCAATAGTTAAACCCCCAACAACATTTTTTCAGAATATTAATTTCCCTGCAGTACGAAACAGCGATGCCCACCGACACAGCCAATGCCATCGCCGCTGACGAGTGTCGACTTTGCCGACAGCGATGCCCGGCTACAGGTGCGTGGCTAGCGGCTTCGCCAGCAGGCGGGCTGCTTTAATGTGAAAGCAGAGACACTCGACGGCTCCTATGCCACAGCCTGCCACGATGCCCAAGACCAGGAAGATGAAGATTCCACGGAAGTCGTTCATCTCGATCTGGTCTTTGCCCGAAAGTTGGGAAACGCATTCCTGCGCCTCCTGCGCGAACCAGACGCGCTCAATCTTGTCGAGGTCGCCGGACTCCTCCAGCTCCACGATCGCACGGGACACCTGGTCCACGAGCGGCGAGTCGCGGCGGAACGGCAGGGCAAGCCGGTGCCGGTAGAAGCGACGCTCAGAGATGGTCATGTCACAGTAATCCTTCTTGGCCGTGTAAACGGCTGACATCTCGCCGATGAAGATGAACGGCTCGTTCTCGACTCTCTTGAGACCGAGCTCTGGCGAGCTGGCCATAGTGCCATTGGACACGTGGAGCCAGACGGTGACGTAAGGCTCGCGCGACGCGTTCTTCAACAGGGAGAACACGGAGTAGCCTCCGTACGTGCCGTAGTTGGTATCCACGCGGTCTGCGAGCTCCCTGAGCGAACGCACGCCGCCGGTGCCCTCGGCCGTAAGAAACGCCGCCAGGTTGGCCGTGTACGTCGAGCAAGCCACCAGCACGAAGCACCACCAGGTGTACGAAATTATTTTGCCGGCCATGGATGCCGGCAGCGGCCCGGAGCCCTGGTTGACCATGCTGGAGAAGGCGAACCACAGGCTGTTGGGGATGCTGAAGGCCCGACCTTCGCTGGGGGTCGCGTGGCCGCGTCTGGCCAGGTGGTGCCACTCGTCCGGGTGTATCCGGGCGAGCAGCGCCAACGCCAGGCCGATGCCGGCGCAGGCCGACAGCATGGACATCCACAGGTAGGTGTTGAGAGGCTCAAGGAACTGGAAGAGTCGCACTTCCGCTCGCTCGTGGCTGCCGGAGATGATGTGGTAGCCATTCTCGAACACCATCTCCGACAAGGCTATGGCTCTGTCGCCAGGGTCGTCCATCACCGGGTAGCCAAACAGGGCAAACTCCACGGCAGTCGCATCCTGTGAACGTGTTATTAGTATTCTTAAATATGCTTTTTTTTGTGAGATTGTGTCGTGTTAAGTCTATTCATTTATAAATTATGACAAATTGTCCGATTTTACGTTGTGAGACCGTCCACCACCAAACATTGCTGAAAATATTCACATAGTGTTGCACAAAACATTTAAAGTGCAAATTAGTATCATTATTTCACTTCATATGCTTTGGGGTTTTTGGGAAAGCCACATAGATAGAAAAATTATAATAAAAAATCACGACGTTTCGATCGCAACACAAGCAATCGTCATCCAGTGAAACAATATAGCGGGAGAGCTGCTGAGGAAGGATGCATCTTTGCTGATAGCCAGTGCCTTTGGAGAGTACCTTCGCCACACATAGCAGGGGTGACCAAAAATATTTCCAAAATCATTAGCAAACACAAGATCCAGGTTCGATTCAACATAGTACGTACAATTCGTGATCTGATACCACCTGTCAAGGATGTGACCCCTGACATGCAATACCCCGGCGTCTACAAACTAAGCTGTGTCTGTGGCAGTAGTTACATCGGGGAAACTAAGCGACACGTCTCGGACCGTGTTCGTGAACACAAGGCGGATCTGAAACACGGCAGGACCAATACCTCGGCCGTGGCTGATCATTGTAGTAACGCGGTGGGCTCACACGATATTGATTTCTCCAAGACGAAGGTACTCTGCAAACCCACTGGCTATCAGCAAAGATTTGTTCATGAAGCCATCCAGATAGATAAACACAGACACAATTTCAACCGAGAAGATGGGTACAAACTGAGCAATCATTGGAAGGACGTTATTAACCAGTTTAAGTCATAACTGGCTGTGATGTTTCCATCCTACCTGCCGATGTTAGCAGTTATTTTCGACTCTCCGAGTTACATTACCAGGTTCAATGTCTTTACATTAACAGGCGAAATGTCTCACTAACACAGCCAGCGTTGCTCGTTTTCCTCGATGTTGCGGTGGTTTTTATGTTGTTCGTTGTTCTTACTTTTACAAATGCTAATCTCTCACAATACAATGGCCACCTCCACAGCTTCGTCGTCGTGAAGGTAGTCCAGCTCTCGGATCTTACATTTACATGCAAATTCCATCTCTAGCCCGCCCACTTCGCTGATGACCCTTGGGCTGCACCCATCTCAAACCTTTATAACATCCTGCCTCAGCAGCTCTCCCGCCATATGTTTCACCTGATGACGATTGCTTGTGTTGCGATCGAAACGTCGCGATATTTTTATTATTATTGTTCTTCTATCTACGTGGCTTTACCGAAAGACCCAAATCATATGAATTGCTGCAATCACGAAATTTGGTGACTGATGACGGTTTTTGATGGTGGTGGTGTTGATGATGGTGACGGTGTTCATGGTGGTGGTGTTGATGATGGTGATGACGGTGTTGATGGTGGTGGTGGTGTTAATGATGGTGATGATCATGATGGGTCGTGGCCATGGGTGTTAGGCCACATGACGCACCGGTGATCCTGTCAGTTGCCCTTTCACGCGTTCCTGCATTGTCTCCTGAGTAGCTACCGAGTTGTCCGTCTCCTCCCAGGCTGCTGGAGGCGGGATGAGCTCCGTCTCAAACTCCAGCTTCTCTGTAATCTTGTTGAGCAAGTCCACCAGGAAGCCCGATGCCTTGGACACGTTCCCGTCTTCGTACCACACAAAGCCAGCCACCTGCAGAGCCATCCCCGGTTGACCGTGGCCGATGGTGGGGATATATTGTTTAATAGAATGCATGACAACTAAACGTACGTTCCAAAACCACATTTGTCACAAGCAGTGCTGCGATGTGCTTCACATGTCAAAGTTGCTGCTTCGACATTTTCATCTGACCCTGGCTATTGCACCACGAGCATGTTTTAGCGGTATTTAAAAAAAAGCATTCTATGAATATAGGCACCAAGGCCGAATAAGTCATGCAGCCAGCAACAAACAGCACGATAAAAGTAGTCATATGAGTCAACACGTTTCTCGAATTGAATCAAGGTTATTGAGGGCTTGGGGAAAAGAGACGATGGTAGGTCATTTCAAAGTGGAGCAGAGCGAGGGAAGAAGCAGAAATAGCCGTCACTTGCAGTGTGGCGCGTGAGTGGGTGAGTGGGTGGGTGTGTGGGTGGGTGAGTGGGTGAGTGGGTGAGTGGGTGGGTGAGTGGGTGAGTGAGTGGGTGAGTGGGTGGGTGAGTGGGTGGGTGAGTGGGTGGGTGAGTGGGTGAGTGAGTGGGTGAGTGAGTGGGTGAGTGAGTGGGTGAGTGAGTGGGTGAGTGAGTGGGTGAGTGAGTGGGTGTGTGGGTGGGTGAGTGGGTGAGTGGGTGGGTGAGTGAGTGGGCGAGTTACTGAGTGAGGGGTAGCGGCAGTGCAGTGGTTAGCGAGCTGCGCTACAACCCCGGCGACCTGAGTTCGAATCCTGCTCATGGCCAACACTAGTGACGATTATCTGAAATGGTCCTGGGCCTCCCCTGGGTCGACTCAGCCTCAAATGAGTACCTGGTGCTATGTGTAAACATCACCACTGGGGAGACAAAGGCGGCCAGTCGTTGTGCTGGCCATCCACCCTCTCGTGTACTTTTCCGGCCTCCATAGGTACTCGCTAACAGCACTTGCCCCTACAGTCTGTTAAAGGATATATGGGGCATCTTTGTCTTTGTTACTAAGTGAGTGAGTGGGTGATTGGCGGGATGGGTCCGCGGGTAGGTATGTGAGTGGATGGCTGGGTGAGAGAGTGATTAAGTGCATTGTTGTAACCTGCAGTGTGATGGTGTGTGTGTGTGTGCAAGTGGCAGCTCCGTGTGAGTGGGTGTGTTGTTACCTTTGGTGCCAGCACGCGCACCTTCCTTTTGGCAAAGAAGTAGTTGGTGATAGGCAGAGGTTGGGTGGCTTCATGCCGAGAAATTGACCAGTTTCCAACCTTGGAAGAGAGGCAGAAAATATCCCCTTCAGAACAAATGTTGAAGACTTGGCCTACTCCACTGACTGTCTCGTCTCATCCACGCTGCAGGTCTGTTCCACAGTGGAATTCCCTGCCATCGTCTCTTTCCCAAGGTCTTACAACCTCACTATATTCAAGAAATGTGTTATAATTCTCATCTATTACAACTTTGAGAGGACAAATAGTTCTCCGAACTTTATCCGAAGTTGTGCTTTGTATAGCCCTCATTACACACACAAATAACCCACAATACCTTCCTGCTATTATCAAAGAGCATTAACCTCCATCACGCGAACTCCGGTCATCATTGCAGTGGCTTTTGGCTCGTCAGCAAACAAAGACGGTCACCGCATCGCGTGCTTTAAGATGCGTTTCTGCGGTCGTCTGGAATGCTTTTCCTTCCAACGTTGGGACGCCACTGGGGCAATGCACTTTTAAATCTAGATCGAAAACGAATTTCTTTAGAACTGCTTTTTGTGTTGTGTTTGTCGTCCTTTCCTCGCACCCCCGGTTAGCACGGTTAGCAATGTACGGCGCGAAAGAAGTTCAACATAAAAACCAATTGAGTTTCATATCCGCTTTTGAAGTCGAACTCTGGATATCCGTAGTTGCACAGCGTGCTGTGGTTATAGACATTGGGATTCTCGAAGTAGTCTTGGTGGCTCAGAAGTCTCCATAGGTGACCAGGCTGAGACCACCGACTCGCGACAACTGTAAACCCAGTTTAATGACAGGCAGATGCCCAGATTCGAACCCAGGATGTTCCACAGTGCTCCCCCAACACTCGTGCAGTTTGGGCAGCTGCCTGTGGTCAAAGCGGGTTACACGGATTGATGGTCTCAGCCTGGTCACCAATGATGGCACACAAATAATCGTAAATCTGGTTTCTCGCTTAATTTGCATGTGCATTTTGCAGCTATGAAAATTAGAAACTGCATCGCTTTGCAATATAACGAACATTTATCTTTGTAGCAAGGCGGGCGGGATAGTGTTGCCCCCTAGTGTGGATAAGAAGGGTCAGAGTCCGAAACGTCACTGGTTATCATCATTATTTTAAAGCAGTGAGTGTTGTTGATGGAGGAGCGCGTGGTGGAGTAATTTGTTTTGTGACCTGTGCTTTGTTCAGATATTTGGACACGTGAGCCTCATGGCGGGCACCCGGGGTCCCATAAGCCCCCGGCTCTCGCATATCAACTGCGTTGCGACGTCATTTTATGTCTGTTTAAGGTGAACGACACAGACATTTATTCCTCTCGACGAGCTCTAGAACGATGCGCTCATCACGGTGTCTGTCACAGTCACGGTGTCTGTCCGCTCTGGGATCTCTCAAGCGGCGGTGTCTGCGTGGCAGGGAGACGTGCTGCCAGCACCTTGTGCGGTCCGTCTGTCCTCAGCTCGAACAGGTCGATTGTGACATTGGTGCGAGTTCCATCGCGAGCAAAGGCGACGAGGCCGGAGAAGCCCAACACCGTCGTCTGCCAGTGGAGGAGAGGGGAGGAGAGAGGAGGGTGGAGGAGGAGGAGAGACAAAAACAACGATCGCCCCGTGGAGTCGAAACAGACTCGTGGGGCAAGTGCTGTTAGCGAGCACAAGTCAGATCTGAAACACGGCAGAACTGATTTTTCGGCCGTTGCCGATCATTGCTACAACTCTGTGGGCTCTCATGAAATTGTCTTTTCCGAGACCAAGGTGCTCTACAAACCTCGTGGCTACCATCAAAGGTTTGTACACGAAGCCATACAAATATACAAACACAGACATAATTTCAACCGTGATTTCGATTTAAAGCTTTCGTGACTGCAGGGATTTATCTTCCTCCCACTACTCACCCATTGACACGACGGTCAATGGTACAGTGTATAATAACAAATAGTATAACATTTATATGCTTAATACAATGTACAAAGTAATATATAGTATCGTAATTGTATAGTGAATATACAGCAGTGTGATATACATTAAGGTGGGTAGAATAATACATAGTGTAATATTACAATGTATAGTCGAAGGTATAGGGTGGTTTATAGCAATACAGTATATAATTTAATGTTGGGTTTGTCTATGGCAGTATATAGTACGGTGTAGACTCGTGTGATGTAAGAGAATAAAGTTTAGATGGAAGCATATTATATAATTTTTACGACGTAGAATTGTAATGTATTACTTACTGTTAGTAACTCAGCTTATTGTAGAGTATAGTTAGTATACTGATGATACTATGTAGTTCATACTTTAGTTGTTTACGTGTTGGTTTTAGTTACTGCAGCTACATACTATTAACACTCCTTCCCTTTATTAATGCCACCCTATCCCCTCCCTTTGATGCTGATAGTCCTGCATAATGCACGGGCATATGTCGTACTAATCACATTCCTGCATTTCCCATAAATATGCTAAATTACTCTTGATATGCAAATTATTTTGTCGAAGCGCCCTTTCCCCCCCTTCCAACCCAGCGTATATATGCTCCAAGCTCGTGTGCTGTTTCATTCAGACGCTGTCTCCCCGACACATACACACACACACGATCACACACATACATACACACACATGCACACACACACACATAATCACACATACACACACACGCACACACGCTCGCCTGCAGCACGCCAGCAGGCGAGCACAGGCCGTCCCGCTCCATCTGCTTGAGGAAGGTTTGCGCGTCAAACTCCAACGCATCGAGCGGCGTGATGGAGAGAGACGTCGGGGACGAGCGGGAGGGGGGATTGGCCGCTCCGCCCGGCTCTTGGAGAGAGACCTCGAGCAGTGTGAACCGAACGCCTGTCTCGACGAACCGGCTGAGATACGTCGGTGGCAGCGTCTGTGACGAGGCAGGGGGTGGTGGGGTGGTGCGTGGTTTGGCTTAGAAGTTAGAGGGGGGGGGGTGATGGGGGGGTTTGTGTAAAAGGACGTTTAGAATAAGTTACATCCACGGTGGTGAGATGTTAATTTCCTCGCCTGGTTTACATTTAGAAATGTGTTCAGAGTATTTGGCTGCAATACATCTCCACACGCGAAGCCACTTCGTTGAGCCGTCATTGGTGGCCAGGTTCATAGCTTAATGGGCCTGACCTGGTAAATTACAAATTGTAAGTATCAGATGTTTTCTCCTCTTTCGTCACGTTTGCTGACACATAGTGCACTCCAATACAGGTGTTTTCCTATAGCAGAATACCACGTTATGTAAACATCTCGTAATAATAAATAGTGTCGGGTGAAGCACGGCCCGAGATAACACGCGAGATGCGGACGCAGGCCGAGCAAAGATGGAGGCGCGTGCAGGCAGCATCCCGCAGCATCCCGCAGCATCCCGCAGCATCCCGCAGCATCCCGCAGCATCCAGCAGCATCCAGCAGCATCCAGCAGCATCCCGCAGCATCCCGCAGCATCCAGCAGCATCCAGCAGCATCCCGCAGCATCCCGCAGCATCCCGCAGCATCCAGCAGCATCCAGCAGCATCCAGCAGCATCCCGCAGCATCCAGCAGCATCCCGCAGCATCCAGCAGCATCCAGCAGCATCCCGCAGCATCCAGCAGCATCCAGCAGCATCCCGCAGCATCCAGCAGCATCCCGCAGCATCCCGCAGCATCCAGCAGCATCCCGCAGCATCCAGCAGCATCCAGCAGCATCCAGCAGCATCCAGCAGCATCCCGCAGCATCCAGCAGCATCCCGCAGCATCCCGCAGCATCCAGCAGCATCCAGCAGCATCCAGCAGCATCCTGCAGCATCCAGCAGCATCCCGCAGCATCCAGCAGCATCCCGCAGCATCCCGCAGCATCCAGCAGCATCCAGCAGCATCCAGCAGCATCCAGCAGCATCCAGCAGCATCCCGCAGCATCCCGCTGCCTCGTGCGATGCTACTCCCAGGCGGCTCTACAACCGCTTATTGCTACGCACACGACGTAGATCTGTTCACTCAATCGCGTCATATCCAAGTCGCGTTCTGAAAACACGCAGCGATATAGGAGAACAGACTGGAATAAACCGACTGCCCGGGATTTACAGGTCTACACGTCCTGATTTACACAGCTCGTTGTTGGAATTTTACAGGGTTGGCAGTTTTTCTTCACCTCTGTCCACCCAGCAGTGTAAATACTGAACTAAAACTATTTTTTTTATTTTACCAGGTAAGGCCCACTGAGCTATGTAGCTCTTTTTCAGAAGCGAGCTGGCGATCACAGATGATAGGTCAACGAAGTGGCTTATCATCATCACGTGGAAATGTATAGCAGCCAAATACTCTAAACGTGTGATGTTGATTCTAAATGAGGATGGAAAAACCAGAGGACCTGGAGAAAAATCCACGAGACATGCAAACTCCTAATATACAGCAACAGGCGTCTAGGTCGGAGTCGAACCCACGTCCTCCTGTATACCAGGCGAGGTAGTGAAAATCTCCTAGCCACCGTGGCATCCCCAGGTTCACCACCACAGTCTATACATCGGTAGGTCGCGTGCAGTGGCGTGACGTGTGGACGCATCTACCTCTTCCAAGACGTCTGTTCAGCGTGGAAGAGGAGACCAAATATCCCCTAGATCTCCCTCTAGTGGAGGCCCTTCCGACAGCAGTGGTGTGAGCCGGCAATTGCAGGGCTGCACCTTGACCTTTTATCCAGACACGAGGGGCGAATGCACCACGCGGTGACTGGGGCCTGCGCCGTGCGGTGTGTACGTTCACGTGCACGTGCCAATTCATTACTGACAGTCTCAGCAATTGGTTCGCGATTTCTGACTTTTGGAACCAGTAATCAATTCTGAAAACGATTACCGATCACCGTTTAACAACCGAACTAACGATTACGTTTTTCAGCTCGAGCCCAGCGGCTGTGGCTATTCCCGAGTGGTGCCGATGAAGGCCGTGTTAACCGCACATCGGCGCAGTCAGCTTCCCCCGCTGAGAGGCAAGCCCCGTGGGCTTGAAAGCAAAAGTACAGCGAGATTGTCAATGTGTAAGGTCGGGAACTCGGTACCTGCAGTGGCACGACCCAGTGGTAGGGCATTGCAATGAGACCAAAGTAGATGGACTGTAGACACACACGCACCCATACAGTTTCACGCGTTAGGCTTTCACGACCAATTTTATCCATCATAAAGGTGACTTGAGTGAGATCGCGTGAACATGAATGTGTCATTAAACCCGCCACCTCCCTGACACAATAAACGAGTGAGGTTTGTCACGTAAACAGAGCGTGCCAAGGAGTTTCTACTTGAGCACACCGCCGCTGTGTTGGAGAGTCAGACCCACAACATTTACAATTTGAGTACCGTGACGTTTCTGCCGGTGATTACAACCAGCTTCATAAATGTCAAGGAGAGTGAGCAGTAACAGAAATAGTGAACAATATCACCGATAGAGGTGACTCAAGTAACCGACTCGACTTTCCAGGGTAGCTCAGTGCCACAGGTGCACGCACGACGATTAGTTTGTGCGCGATGCATCCGGTGACACCCTGAACACCCTTGCGAACGAGATTTTACATCTCAAGGGATTTTCCATGTGAAGTATTTGAACTTATGTTTGTTTTAAGTATTCTGCTGTCAATTTCATTCTTGATCACACATTAATTTTTTTTATAACCTTGAAAATTATTTATTTCTGCTTTCTTCCATTTGTAATAGGAGACCACACCTGGTCTACATTTTTTTTTGGGGGCCCAAGACCGGTGACGCTGATCTGAACTGGTTTTGTGCCTCTCCTCGTGTCTGGTATGGAGGAGGTCGTGGGTTCGATCCTGACCCTGACCCCATTTGTGGACAGGTCGCTTCTGAAAAAGAGCTATATAGGTCAGTGAGCCTTGCCTGGTAAAATTAATAGTTATAATGTAGCTCGCAGAGACTGGTTTCAAGGCTCGCAAGAGCATTGAGAGAGTGCCCGTCTGGTACAGACACACAACGGGGAGGCTGATCGGTGCCCGAGTTGCCGAGGCTCAAAATGCCTCAGCGAATCGCCTTAGATAATTTCTCATCTCTGCTCGCACAATCAAAGTGCACCTCCAAGTGGCAGCTGCCCCTGTAGCAGACATTTTGGGCCATGACACCAGTACACAATGGCCTCGTTATTTAAAATGTTGTCACGGGATCTCTAACGTCCACCGTGAGTGAAGCAAGCAGCGGTTAATACGTCGTGGTTAATACGCCGTGGTTAATACGCACCCGCAGTATTGACGCGGGCAGCCTGCCAGCTGGTAACCACGAACTCTGCAGAAAGCAGCTAATGCCCTATTGCTGGGCCATGTCACTGCTCCCAGATGTCCATTCTATACTCGATGTCACTCTTTGTGTAAGTCATTTTTATTTACAACACTAAACACCTCGTGGCTCAGAGCAGTATGCTAGGCACCGAGCTACTGAACATCTGTCAACTCCTGAACATCTCTGAAAAAATTGCTTCATAGCTCATCGGATTCCTCCAGTATGAATACATATGATTATTATTATTCTGTACCCATTCACCGCGAGGCCCTTGGGCTTACCTGATTGAGAATGTGGGGGATGAGGGAATCGCGACAGTAGAGTACGATGTTATAGACCTGGAAATAGGGATGGCATCTTAATACGTGACGGTTATTATTAGCGAGCAACACAAGCACCACGATTGTAACTAAGATATGTACCATCACAGGTATAACCTCTCTAACGTCACAGGTATAACATCTCTAACGTCACAGGTATAACATCTCTAACGTCACAGGTATAACATCTCTAACGTCACAGGTATAACATCTCTAATGTCACAGGTATAACATCTCTAACGTCACAGGTATAACCTCTCTAACGTCACAGGTATAACCTCTCTAACGTCACAGGTATAACATCTCTAACGTCACAGGTATAACATCTCTAATGTCACAGGTATAACATCTCTAACGTCACAGGTATAACCTCTCTAACGTCACAGGTATAACATCTCTAACGTCACAGGTATAACCTCTCTAACGTCACAGGTATAACATCTCTAACGTCACAGGTATAACATCTCTAACGTCACAGGTATAACCTCTCTAACGTCACAGGTATACCATCTGTACCATCACAGGTATAACATCTCTAACGTCACAGGTATAACATCTCTAACGTCACAGGTATAACATCTGTACCGTCACAGGTATAACATCTCTAACGTCACAGGTATAACATCTGTACCGTCACAGGTATAACATCTCTAACGTCACAGGTATAACATCTGTACCGTCACAGGTATAACATCTCTAACGTCACAGGTATAACATCTGTACCGTCACAGGTATAACATCTCTAACGTCACAGGTATCAGATGTGTGTAGTGACATCGGGGATGTCGCTGCATGGTGCCGGCCTGAAAGGGCCACGGCACGCGATGCACCGTCATCGCGTGCACCCCGTGGGCGGGTGAAGGACGTTTCGATCGCAACACGAGAGCAATCGTCATCAGGAGAATGATGACGATTGCTTGTGTTGCGATCGAAACGTCGTGATATTTTTTATTATTTTTTATTCACTTTATTTTCATTTTCATCATTTTATTGTTATTATTTTTTCTATCTACGTGACTTTACCGAAAGAACCATAGAATATAAATTACGAATCGTACATTTAACAGTATAAATCCCGTGTTATTATATCAATTTACACACAGAGTTTTTGCAACAAATGAACCACGATGCCTGGCTGATCTCGTTAAAAGTGCACGGCTCCAGTGGCTTCCAAATATCGGAAAGAAGAGCGTTCCAGACGGCCACAGAAGCACATTTGAAAGGGTGCGATGCAGTGACCGTCTCTGTTCGCTGGTTAGCCAAAAGCTGCTACTGCGAGGATGACCGGAGTTTGCGTCACGGTTGATGCTCCTTGACGAGATCAGTCAGGTATTGTGGTTCATTTGTGGCAAGTACTTTGCGGGTGACGATTGCGACCTCAGTGTATTCGTTCGGCAACGAGGGTCATGATGAGTTCACGAGCACGATGTCAAGCTTGCGGCCCCACTGAGGTGAAGGAGGGGGGCGCTCACGTGGCCCACCGCCACCCTCGTCCTTACCTCCTTGCGGCGAATCTCCCGGAACATGTTGTCAAGGGCCAGGAGGTCGGGAGACTGCCCCGTGTCCTTCAGCTGTATGGTGCTCAGCGTCACGGCCATGCTGCTGCTGCTGCTGCTGTCCTCCAGGAAGCTCGCCACTTCCTCCACAGACAGGCGCAGAGCTGGTGGGAATCATGGGCAGTGGCGTCACAGCACCGCTCTGTTGGAATTCGTCGTTTATTGGCCTGAATACTTTCACGGTTATTTTATTGAACCAGGCGATTAGTGAAGATACAAGTGCGTCTCACTTGCAAGAATGACATGGGTCATCACGTTTACAAAAGTAATTACTTAAAAACAAGAACAACAGTGACGCAAATTCAGACCAAAAACAACCAAAATAAAAAAAAACTGAGCAGAGACAGTCAATTTGAAATCATCGGAAAAGCAACTGTGTTACAGGAGAGAACAAGTGACAGACACAATGGACATTAAATCAAGTGAATTGCCACTAACAAAACTTCGCTTTTTCTACTTAGCACGGATGGCTACGGACGGTGCGAACGAAGTGCAACATACAAACATAAACAGACGACGACGCAAGTCTGAGATGAATCCCTGCCACAGCAACGCGCTGCACCTTGGTAAGAGTGAGCCCGGGCGCAAGAGAGCCGAGACAGCAGCGGGCAATCAGTGCCTGATCTGATGGTGGCACTTTAAAACAAACACAATCGATATTAATTTAAGAAACTTGCCCACTTGTTTGAACTGCCGCGCCGGGAGATCCAATGGAATCAGCGACATCTGGATAACAAGGCCAGTGGGCTGAGCATTCCATCACAACAGCTCCCCCTCTCTCATTTAACAAAGGGTGGGAAGATCACGTGAATCGCTCGACAATTCCACAGAGTGCTCATGATGCATGTAACATTAACGTCGTTTTTTATTCGCTGCATGTACAGGTGGGGTTGCAACGTGGCAGACAATTGGCGAATTTACGACAGAAAAAGTAGTATGCGAGTATGTGGGTCCACGATCGTGAAAAAGGCCCGACAAGCTATGAGGGAATATAAGAACCAGATTTTCACAGAGATTTCAATAAAACGCGCTCCTTCACGCGACACATTAGGGGCATGGAAGTGCGCGGAACTGCTCTTACAGTTGACTGCCATCCACTTGGCGAACTTTGGCACAAACCCAGCCGCAGTGTGCCGTCGATGGAGGGCAACACACGGAGCTGTTGGGATCAAGGCGCGTTTTAGTTTACACGCAAAGCGACTTTGCCGCCACGCTGTATGTGCGAGGCAAACCAGTAAAAGCGAATTCACCCAACAACCCTCGCGGCTCCTCGGTCGTGACCCCGACCCGCGGGTCAGGGCAGCGAGTCCACACGCCGCCCGGGCCATCCCCGACCTTGCGGGTTTGTTGCGCCGAGTTTGTGTCGCGTTACCTGCTGGGTTCCCCGCCTCCTCCCCCCCCCTCTTTTTCTAAAATCCGCTTTGTATTCTGGGTTTTTGACTGAGAGTAAAAAAATATATATATAAAAATTGTAAAACAAATTCAAAAGTAACTAAAGAAATCTGATAGGTCAAAATATATTTTGCCAAAAAATAAACACAAAAAGTGAAAGAAGAAATCCCTGCCACGAACCGGGGTCGTGGAGGATGATGGCCCGGCGCCACTTTGCCTGCGACGCGAGCCACTGCGCGGCTCCCAGCACGACGCCGCCGCCGGGGTAGAGCGGGAAGGCTCGTCCAGAGCAGCAGCCGCTCCCCGCGTACAGCACCGCGCCCGGAGACGCCGGGACGATGAGTCGGGGCCGCGGGGAGCTTCTCTGCTCCCTGGGGGCGTCGGGCCGGGCCACCCACACCTCGTCGCGGCACGGCGCCGCTGCGTGCGGGAGGATGGGGGAGGACTGACTCACTCGTGCCGTCAGTCGGCGGTCACCATGCTTGTTGGAGACTGGATGAATCCGATGAGCCGTGAAGCTCTTTTTGTTCACAAGTGTCCAGCACAAAGTCCACGTGGGGCAACGCGTCCGCAGCAATAGTTTAGCTTGTTGAGGCAGCTGGGTCAGGACTATTGGTCCCCACTCTTGAGCAACACAGACTTGTGTTACAAATCTAACAACATTGAAGAAAAAAGCTGTCTCGGGTGTGGACCAATCAACTTCAAGGACAGTGCACATTATCAGAGTTGTGTTCTTTGTTTGCATTATGACTGCAGGTATTGTGGTCTATGCAAACATGACTCCTTGTAAAAAGGTGTCAGTTTTGTTGCCAGATAGAAGGGTAAAAAAACAATTATCATATTTTTACCGGCAAATGAGGTTCCAATGGTGAACATTGAAGAATCACAAGACACATATATACTACGACAAATAATTAAAGTAACATTGTATACATCTTAAAGTCTCATCAGTGGTCCTTAAACTATCCAGGACACTGTTGCGGTGCCCAGCCAGGCTGTTTCAAACACTGTGAAGTGAAAGTTATTTCCTGCTATTTGTATTTTGCCAGGTAAGACCCACTGAGCTCCATAGCTATTTTTCAGATGCGACCTGGCCACAAATGATAGCTCAACGAAGTGGCTTATCATTATCAAGTGGAAATGTATAGCAGGAGGGATAAACCGGAAGACCTGGAGAAAAATCCACATGACCACGGGGGGAGAGAGAGAGACACGCACACTCCGAATATACAGCAGCAGGCGTCAGGGTCGGGATCGAACCCACGGACCTCCTGTATACCAGGCGAGGTGGTTAACATTTCCTAGCCACCGTGGCACCCTGAAGTGAAAACGTCGTTCCATTTTGTACTCAGTCGATCCATGTGATTACTGTACTTTGGTGGCTCAGTGGTAGAGCCAGCACCTCGCAATAGGAAGGTTGTGAGTTCAAATCCTGGTTGGGGGTTGATTCAGCATATCACTCCTACAGGGTCGATACAACGAGTACCACTTTATCAAGAGGTAAACAGTGCTTGTCCAACGGATTAACTTGCCCCTGTCACGAGATTGTGGAATCCCACCACCGTCTCAGGGCTGCAAACAGGAGCTGAACCACTGCTTCAATGTTCATTTGAGCAGGAAATCACGATTGTTAATCAGAAACATTATTGATACTTGTCATAGATTCGTGTTAATTGTATCAACAATGTATAGAGTAGGCAACTAGTCATGCCAGTACTAATTGACTGAACAAATGGTGAAGGCATGGGTACCTGCGTGGGTCTTGCTTCTGTGGCTGCCATTGCTATGGCCGGTTTGGAGATAACCTGCAAGAGAAGAACAACGTGAATAACAGGAGACACATGCGTTGTTGGATGTCTGCTGTTCATAGCTCAGTAGAAGCGATAGAAGCTTTCTCTCGTTTGGTCATGAATTGAAATATCAGGATCGATTCAATCCGGTTAAATAATACAAATAAAATTGCACCTCGATCGGTGGCGTAGCCAACTACATTATCAGCTCAGGGGGTGCGATAATGGGTCACACGGGGCCCCAATATTTGATGATGCTCAAGCCGATTCCCCCCCAAGGCGGAATGATCTTCTTGTCGACCTCGTTACCCTGTGGTGGTGGTGATGATGCTGATAATGACAGAGAACAAACACGCGATGCGCAATTTGAGGAAGCCAAACTTTACTGCTCTAAGTTAAAATTAAATGTGGAGCGTAATCCCAATTGAGCAATTTAATTATCCGGTAATTTATGGAATATGGAAACTTTAACTGGGACGCACAATGGGTCTCTGCTCGTTTCCAATGACGTCAGCGGATCTTTAAACGTCCACTGTGAGTGAAGCAGACGGCGGGCGCGCTGCGATACGTAACGGATACACGCCACGCCAGTATTGTCCAGGGGCGGCCTGTCGGAGTTGCACCACGAGAACCTGGGACACAAGCGGTGACGTCACCACCCCTTTGTTGCTGCATTCAACATCGACCCGCTGAGTGGCGTCGGGCCGTGTTTTGACACCGCGATAGGCGCGCGAGTGCATGCAGAGGCCGCTCGCTGGTCGTTAACGTTGTTACGTTTCATGAATTATAGATTCGGGTCTCTGAGGCTCACTCTTCCAACGGATGTCCTAAGAGCTTACAGGAAATCCACATCCACGCCTTGTCACTCGAGCAATTGCCTCTAATGCATCACCGGAATGCGACAACTTTCGTCTGTCATCGTAATCACGGAGCAATGCCCTCATGCAGTCACCAAGGTGACCCGATGTTGCTTGATCCTTGGCTCGCTTCGAGTGGCTATAACTTAACACGCTCGTGGTGAAACATCGCCTGGAGACATCACCCCACCCCCCCTGGACACCGCGCCGCGCTACGAACTTGGAGACCCGAGTTCGATTCCCGCTCACGGCCACCAACATTCAGTGACGATTATCCGAACCGGTCCTGGGCCCCCTCCTCTAGGTCGACTCAGCCTCACAATGAGTCCTTGGTGTGGCGTGTAAACATCGCCACTCGGGAGACAAAGGCGGCCGGGCGTGGTGATAGGTGCTACTCGCGAACAGCACCTTCCCCCAACAGTCTGTGAAGGTTACACGGGGATCTTTGTCTTTGTGTATGGAGTGAAAGAGGTTGACCAACAACCTCGACTCGCACGGTTGGCTACGTGCGGTTCTACATCTACACACCGACAAAGACCCCACACATATACACAGCATACAACATCCACACATACAGCATACACACATATACACATACAGCATACACACATCAAGTTCAAGTTCATTTATTAGGTGTAGCCCTGTGAGCCATTCGGCTCTTGAATCGGGTGCAACCGCAACAAACAAAAAACAAAAACATGAACAAAAAAACATCTTAAAGTGACTATGTGACTGAGTGCAAACAGAAAATCCAAGAAAAGACAGCAAAATATTGCAGAAAAAACACCGTACACCAACGCTGTGTGCAAAAAATCCCAGTGGGATGCAAGTCAAACAACCAACAACAACCACAAGACAACTTAGATTAAGGCCATCAGTCTAACTCTGTACTAAAAGAAACAAACATGGCTAAACCAATACACTTTTCGAAATCACCAAAATAAAGCCATGAAACCAATGAAACAGTGATCATAGGAACTGTGACGGAATTTTCACATTAAATGGCATAAACAATATGTACTACCAAAACCTTGCAGCCATAGTTGGATGCATGAGTCACTCCACAGGAGCATCAATCCACAGGAGCATCAATTGGAGTAGTATAATATTATAATTTTTCAATGCACCTTTAAGATCCACACAGTAAATCAAAACACAGGTCATACTTTGTAGCGATCATCCGGAGCGAAACATTTAATTTAAGGCCACTCAATAGCACTGGCAGCTAGGGGTGTACAACTCCTCTAGAGCAGGTTTGAGTGAAGATCTCATAGGTAGTGACTCAAGTTTCAATTTATTGGCAACATAATTCCAGACCCTGGGGGCATCAATAGCAAAGGCCCTTCCTCCAGTATATGTACGGCAATAGGGAATATGAAGCTGGTAAATGAGCATAGACCATACAGCATACACACATACAGCATACACACATACAGCATACACACATACAGCATACACACATACAGCATACACACATACAGCATACACACATACAGCATACACACATACAGCATACACACATACAGCATACACACATACAGCATACACACATACAGCATACACACATACAGCATACACACATACAGCATACACACATACAGACACGCGACAAAGATCCCACGCGCAGCCCTCATGGCCTGCAGGGGCAAGCGCCGTGATGAGCGAGTAGCAGCACCGACGAAGGCCGAGACGGCGCACGAGGGGGTGGGTGGCCAGCACCACGCCCGCATACAAACATACAACATACACACATACAACATACATACACACATACACACCAAGGCCGTAGCCGTGGAGTCAACATTGGGGGGGGGACCAAATTTTCCAGGGGGTCTGGGGGTCCCAACCCCCCAGAAAAAAAATCTAAATTAGAAAAATAATTTCCTGCCTACATTTTTTAAAAATTAATTAACACATAGGATGGACTTTATTTATTTTTTACAATAATGTCTAAAAGTGTATTGCATTACATTGCTCTGTTTTTTCTTTTTTCCCTTTTCTTGTTTCATTGTATGCAATTGCAGATACAACCATAACCACAATAATATAAACAGAAATCTATGCGTTGATTTATATGAAGACAAGTCCAGATATTGTGGCCAGGGTTTCGCGAATTGTTGTTTCTATTTACATAGCGTAGCAAACATTTTAAAATATTTGTAAAGCAAAATATTGGGGGGTACATTTTGAGCATATTTGAATATTGGGGGGGGATGTGTCCCCCAATATATATTAGAAATACGGCCTTGATACACACATACAACATACACACAATATACATGGCGATATCCTGATGTGTAGATTGGGTAGGGTGTGTAGAGTGTGTATGGTGTTCATAGTGTGAATGGTGTGTGTGGAGTTTGTGGAGTGTGTATTGTGTGTCGAGTGTGTAGGGTTTGTATGGTGTGTTGGGTGTGTGTGGTGTGTTGGGTGTGTGTGGTGTGTGTCGTGTGTAGGGTGTGTATTGTGTGTAGAGTTTTTATATTGTGTATATTGTGTGTAGAGTTTGTCGGGTTTGTATGGTGGGTTGGGGGTGTTGGGTGTGTGTCGTGTTTAGAGTGTGTATGGTGTGTAGGGTTTGTATTGTGTTTAGAGTGTGTATGGTGTGTAGAGTGTGTATGGTGTGTAGAGTTTTTATGGAGTCTGTGTGGTGTGTATGGTGTGTTGAGTGTGTAGGGTGTGTATTGTGTGTAGAGTTTTTATATAGTGTATATTGTGTGTAGAGTTTGTCGGGTTTGTATGGTGTGTTGGGTGTGTGTCGTGTGTAGAGTGTGTATGGTGTGTATGGTGTGTAGGGTTTGTATTGTGTTTAGAGTGTGTATGGTGTGTAGAGTTTGTATGGAGTCTGTGTAGTGTGTATGGTGTGTTGGGTGTGTATTGTGTGTGTGGTGTGTTGGGTGTGTAGGGTGTGTAGAGTTTGTAAAGAGTCTGTGTGGCGTGTATTGTGTGTAGAGTTTGTGTGGTGTGTAGAGTGTGTTGGGTGTGTATTGTGTTTGTGGTGTGTTGGGTGTGTAGAGTGTGTAGGGTGTGTAGAGTTTGTAAGGAGTCTGTGTGGCGTGTATTGTGTGTAGAGTTTGTGTGGTGTGTAGAGTGTGTTGGGTGTGTATTGTGTGTATTGCGTGTAGAGTTTGTATGGAGTCTGTGTGGTGTGTATTGTGTGTAGAGTTTGTGTGGTGTGTAGAGTGTGTTGGGTGTGTATTGTGTGTAGAGTTTGTATGGAGTCTGTGTGGTGTGTATTGTGTGTAGAGTTTGTGTGGTGTGTATGGTGTGTTGGGTGTGTATTGTGTGTAGAGTTTGTATGGCGTCTGTGTGGTGTGTATTGTGTGTAGAGTTTGTGTGGTGTGTATGGTGTGTATGGTGTGTTGGGTGTGTATTGTGTGTAGAGTTTGTCGAGTTTGTACGTCTCTCTCTCTCTTACCTGTAGCTGAGCAAAGTGGCAGCAAGAGCGTCAAAGCGTGCAGGCAGCCCATGGCTCTCTCACCGGAGAACCCTTCTCAGAGTGAACGTCTCCTCTCTCATCCCTCCACTCCTCTCATCCCTCCACCCTCTCATCCCTCTACCCCTCTCCTCCCTGCACCCCTCTCATCCCTTCCACTCCTCTCAACACAGCACCTCACTCCTCCACGTGGACTTGCCTCCTGCTCGCTCAACACCCAACCTCTACCATCCCCATCACCGCTCCTCCACCATTATCATCCTCCACTCTACCTCATCACTTCTCCTCCTCCCCACCATCCCCATCACCCCACCCTGCATGCATTTTCCACAGACGCCAGAGACCGTGTCCAGGTATTAAATCAACCTGGCAGCAGGGGTGACAGGACGGATGTCTATCGTGGTAACACGGGCCGATGAGAGTCTATGGGTTGTTCCAATATCTGCTATTGTCAATTTGTTTGTTGTATTGAAGCGATGCTCTTCACAGCTATTTCTCTGGACCGACTCTGCTGACGAGTCTGAACATCTGTGAAAAAGAGCTTCATATATCTCCTCGGATTCCTCCATGACGATTCTAAGTTGTGAACCCCGATGCTGTAGAGAAATCTTGAGCGAGCCGAGGCAGCGCCCGTGATGTGTATTGTTTACTCACGAGGGATATTCCACGCGGCTCACGAAACAAACAATACTACTCGGGGAGCAGCGTATTATTATTGCCATTATTATCCAGGCAGCTGTGCAATTCAGGAACATGTGCAAAGTCCATTGTGTAAGGAATGTAAGGCGGAGCAGACCAGCTATTTGATTGAGACTTGCTGTCAGACTCGTAGCTGGACGCTGTGTGTGTACTATGTTGCACTTCTTTCGCACTGTAGACTCCCCACGCACGATGCGTCTTCCCGGGATTACCAATTTACTCCTCCCAATTCAAATGCAATCAAAGAGGCAGAGAGTATTGGATTCCTGCAGTCACGAAAGCTTAAAATGAAGATTGCAATAAAATAGTTTCACGCTGGACGCGCCCGATGATGGCTAAACACGTTCCACGAGTCGCGCCAAGCAATTGACGCTGTCTGTGTAATGTGAAACACGTGCACACATACACACTGAAATCGCGTCTTAATGACCAGTTTAACACGCAGGCTTTCGCGACCAATATCATCCATAATAGAGGTTTTTTGGGGGTTAGATCGCGTAAATTTACGCGATCAAGGGAAATTTCTGGAACACATGGGTACAGGTTGTACAAAAAAAGCTCTATGTTAATACACAACACGAAATGAAAAGTGGATCAGTGGAGAGTGCACTATGGGGTAGCATTCAGACACCCAGATAAATAATTCACTCGGACCGTTTTGCAGGATGAGTTTCCACAAATAGTTTAATGCGCGAAAAGCACTTAAAGCATCCACAATTATCAAGCACAATGCATTGAACAGAGGAATAACAACCGGGGACTGAGTCAGCACTTACTGAGCAAGTTCCCATTACCGTTAACCGAATCAAGCAACCGTTAAAACCCATGTTTGCCGCACATATAAACATATCTAGAGCAATAAACGTGACAGTTTCATCTTTTTGTTGTTGTTTTTAACTGACGGACGAACGGAGCTGCCACAGCCATGGAAGGGCGCCGCGATGGCGAGGTGATGTTAGCTCCCTCGCCTCTGGTATGCAGGAGGGCGAGGATTCGATCCAGACCCTCACGCCTGTGTTAGTGCAGTTTGCTTATTATCCTTGTGATCGCGTGCATTTTTCTCCGGGTCCTCCGGGTTTCCCCTCCACATTGGAAATAAACACCAGGCGTTTAGAATATTTGCCTACTATAAATTTCCACATGGTAAGCCACTTCGTTGAGCTATCATTTGTGGCCAGGTTGCTTCTGATTTTTTTTTATATAGCTCAGGGGCCTTTATCTCGTAAAACATAAATAATATCAGATTCACGGTTATAACAGTGGACTTGCAATCCAGGGCATGTCGGCTCGATTCCAACTCTCGGCGCGGCAGTTGATCCAGAATAAAAAAAAAAATTCATTTATCCTGGAGAAATCCGACTAGCTATGAAGCTCTTTTTAAGGAGGAGGAATCTCCAGTGGGGACGGATCCAAGAGCGCAAGTTTCTTTAATCCCCCGACGTCACCTTGGTCCACACAGCAGGATTAATGGGTTCACGGCAAGTATCTCTTTCCCGTTCCGAGCCGCCTGCAAGTTGCAGGGTGGGTGTCCCGTTCACCGCCGAATCTTGGAGCGCCCGAGCGGTTAGCTTTAATTTATTTAGAGAGGCGTAGTGCCGTTGTTTTTAAAGACATTGCACTCACCGCAGATAACTGGAGCGACACGACCGCACTCTATGATCGCTGGCGCCAAACTGTGCCACACACCCTCCCGCATGGCCTTGTGATCGATAAAGTTGTTTTATTTTTTCTTCCGATTCATAAAAAAACTATATGACATACACGTACGTCATCGGAATGCGAAAGGGGTAGTCGATCGGCAGGTGACGTGTGGAGGGGTAAAGTGTGGGTACGCCAACCTTATCCAACACGTCTGGTCTACGTGAAAGGGTTTGTAATGGACAGTTTTGGCCCCGCGCCCCCCCCCCCTCCCGATGCGTTGTACGTTGGCACTCCTTGCCGTCTTTGAGCCCCGCCTCCCCCTCCCTCCCGATACGTTCCATTTATTGGCTACCACATTCTGATTAGCTCCCCCCCCTCTCCTCCCCCTCAACTTGCTTGTTAAGGGATTACATCTTGAATCATTGCCTCACTTGATGCAGCTAATCCGGCTGTGACGGTCCCACCTGATGACGGAGACTTGTGTTGCCTCCGATACGTCGTGATTTTTGTTTTATTTTATTTTTATTAATTTTGATGTTTTACCTACGTGACTTTACCGAAAAAACCTAAGGGTTTGTAATGGAGGTTTTTCGGATCGCGAAAGGTGACGTGTTAAAGTGAAAGTGTTTGTCAAATACTCTGGGGCCCGGCCGCCAGCTGTGGCGTGAGCTAGCAGTTGTAGGGCTGCACCTTTGCTTTTTATTTCCCTTTGTTTTATTAACGATCGTTTTTGTTTGCTTTTGTAACTTGCTCACCCGCCCGTTCTGAATGTCTGTGGGAAAAATAGCTTCATAGCTCATCGGATTCCTCCTCCAGTCTAAAGGAAGATTCAGATTCACCTGCCCCAAAGCGGGTTGTACGTTCGCGCGTGGCAATCCGTGCATTCCATTTACTGATGTTCGCAACCGGTAATCGATTCTGAAAACGGTAAACCATGTTTTACCGCTTACTCTTTAACAACATTCAAAATGATTGCGCCACCAGATATTTGCGAACGCACTCACAGCGCACTGGCATCACATGATGCTGCTGCTGTCAAGAGATGAATATTGATTGGTTTCGGTTCACTCTTTCAACCCGAGCCCAGTCCTCTGGGGTTGAGCCAGATCGATGCCCTGCGCACGCGCCCATTTGCCGGAACCACTTCTGTTAATCTGTCTGACAAGCGACGTTTTGTTTTCTCATTGTCGTGTTCTATTCGTTTTATAAAGAACATTTCAACGATTGTCACGAAGTCCACATCGCGCTTGACTTATCGGGTTACCGCCGTTAGTGTTTGTTTGTTCTTGATTTCCATTTGCTGCATTGTTGGCTTTTGTCAATATGGTGACCCAGACCCGACTCGTCCTTGTCTCTTGAGTTCTCGCTTGGTTCGACAACATAAATTTTCAACTTTTCCACAGACCAAACACGCACATGTTTTCTCAGTCAGCATATGGCTATCTTAACGGTGCACTATACTGCAATAAAGTTCAACACAATACCAGTATCAGATCTTCGTACAAATTAATTCCTCTTGATTTGAAATTAATTCCTGCCACCTGACCACAGATGCCAATTCCCGGACTGTCGTTATCAAACCTAACTCGCGTAACATGAGGGTATGTTTTATCCATCTGCCGATGCACACATCAGAAGAATCCTATCTATTAAATATGGATGAAGCCTTTATATAAAGGAGATGGTTACTTTCTCAGATTGCCTTTGACCAAGTCTTCCGGAATGTGTTTGATCTGATCAGATCCTGGAAGCTAAGCAAGTGTGATCTGGATTGTGCTTGGCACCGGCAACCACCAGATAAAGCCCACTGAGCAATGTTTTCATAGGCGACCTGGTCACACGTGACAGTTCATTCAAATAGCTTATATCATCACGTGGGAATTTATAGCAGTAGCCAAATGATCTAAGAGCATGTTTCTAAATGTGGAGAGCAAAATCGGAGGAACCCGGAGGAGATGTGAGAAGAGAGCTGGGTTGTTTTAAGTGTAGCGAGTTGATGGTCTCACCCCCAATGATTGAATGTTTACATTTGGTTCGTCACTTTTTAAACGTTGATTGCAAAATGTTATTTAATGTGCAAAAACCTCAGAATGGATTATTTTCTACATTGTACTGTAAATACATTGTGTAATTTACCATATGCGTATTTCAAGTGAGAAATGTTCAACTTACCTGTAAGTCGAAACAATAACTGGGACGTTAACCGCTTATACACGTGACAATTGAATTTGGTTTGCTATGTAAAGCGGTGGAGGGGGTTATGATGAAAAAAATTGGCCAGATCGTTAGTTACCCACAATTAAATTATCAACCGTGATAAAGGTTTAAAAAAAAAACTGGGTTTGTGCGCAGCCATTGTATTACCACACGTTCACAAATGTCTAATTGTAATCAACTACATCATTACGTGGCTGAATAATTCCAATTACTCTGCTTGAGATATCTGGCGTGTACGCTAAATTAAATCACACACATCCTTTGCAGCATGTTTCAGCAATTTTATTATTCTTTTTTATATAATTTACTTTTGTAAGTTATATCTAATACGTAAAGATACAGGGGCAATGTAACAACATTTTAGTTTCGATCTACAAAGTGCACCCTTATTCACCAAAGGATGGCAGCACGATGGTTCATCGCACACTCCATCACTTTCCACACTTAGTGCTACGTGAGTCCACAACGCAGCCCATATTTTGGATAAATCTTGCTTTCCACGCCTCGAGTTGAAATCCCCCTCCACACCTGCTGAAATTCTGAAGAGCTGTATCGAATGTAC